CTTGAGAGAACAGCTCTGACAAAACTATGGCCTGCCCAAGGTCATCCAGCAGCTGCAAGTGGAGGAGTGGGGAATCAAACCTGGTTTTTCCAGATTAGAGTCCTGCACACTTAACCACTACACCAAACCAGCTCTCATTTAAGTCATTAAAGTATGTTCTTAAGCCAACTGCATTCTCTTATTGTCATGTAAATAATTATCTACACTGTTATATAGACATTATACAGACATTAACTGAGTGTCCGTGTGAGAATTTGAATTGACCTTTCATCCACTGTATGTCTTTGGGTATTGTGAATCCTTTTTGAACTGAGTCGCTTTTACATTACAGGATTCTCCCCATAACCTTCGATAACAGTCCGTTACTGAATTTTGACTGATGAAAGGTTTCTTTACTTGAAACAAGCGGAGACAAATCCTGATACTTCATTCTGCCAGACTGGACTGGATTCCTTCTGGACTGGATCATTTGATCTATTTTTCTGGACCTAATTTACTGGATAGGACTTTCTAAATCTGGATTATCTTCATACCTGAACGTATTAGGTCTATATAACAGTGTCAATAATTATTTATTTATGTAATAATAAGAAAATACAACTGGTTTAAGAATATACTTTAATGAATTATGTCTCAACATTGTATATTTATGTTTATTGCACTTTGCACCACAGTTCCGGGTTGTCAGTAATCAGTTTTTAATCAAGCAAACATTTCTAATCGATTGATCTAACTCAGGGGTGTCAATCATGCGGCCCGGGGCCAGATCAGGCCCCCGGAGGGCTTCTGTCAGGCCCGCAGTGGAACCGGCTGTCTTCTGCTGCTGTTGCGTCATTGTGATCTGCAGCTTACAGATACAGACCTGAACAGCATACTCAAGATTGCAACGGCATAGACATTTTGATGCAATGATTCAGAGCAAGAGGTGTCAGTTATCAGACACTGTTAAATAAACAAAAATATTGCAAGAGTGCTAATGTTTTAAGCATGTTTTTATTTTAAGTTTTAAAAAAAACCCTTTGTGTTTGTGTCCTTTATAAAGATTATATCTCCACTACCTGGCATTACATTTTATGACACGCATGGCCCGGCCCAACAAGGTCTCCTTTATGTCAGATGAGTTCGACACCCCTGGTCTAACTAATTAAAGATTGCACCCCCTAACTCCATGAGATTCCAGCAAAGTACAAAATCCCAGCTCATCCAACCCTCATTCCAGCTTCATCTTGGTCACAAAAACCAGAAGCGTCTTCCCAAAGGCTGCCGGGTTTATTCCCCAGGCTCACGAGGACCAGAACATTTCATTTATTTGAACGGGACCTGCAGGTTGGCAAGTTCTGGGCCAGTTACCAAATTCTGCCGTCGCACAGAGAAACGGGCAAAAATCCAGTCCTTCAGATCAATCAGTTTGGAGAGCGACCCATGAGAAATGGATCCCAGAGGGAGAAAAAGATAGGGGACACGGCCTATGCTCGGAACAGAGACCACCAGCTGGCACACAGTATCTGAAGCAGGCTGACACATGCGAGAAGCCCCACGTACCCAGGTGACATCGTTGTTGACCACCACCAGCGCGAACTCGTGGCTCTTGTCAATCTTGTGCTTGGTTCGAACGAACATCTCTATCATCTTCTGGGAGGTGTTTAAGGCGTTTGTCTTGGACCTTACGGTGCAGGGGAGGGGAAGAGAGGGACAATAACACAAAATAAGTACCGCCCTGTCATGACTCAGGTGGGGTGTCACCTGACGCTGCCACCACTCTGGTTCCAGGCTCCCTCGAGAAGGCCCAAAGCACCCTCCCAAGACCTTCAGACCTCCCTTTTGGCCGAATAATAGGCGTGAGGACCAGGCAGAGTACAACAAGGGAAAAGATTTATTTTATAGGAGGTCAAAGCACAAGGTGCAGAATTATAACAGTAAGTGGGTGAAAAGAAATCAGATGCCCTAACGCCTCTAAGTATATACTGTCCCTAGCTCACTATTCCAAGTGACACTAGACCAGTGTTCCCTCTAAGCTGAGTTAGTGTGAGCTAGCTCATAGTTTTTTAGCCTCCGGCTCACACATTTTTGTCTTGGCTCAGGAAGGAGGGCTCCAGAGCAAACAAATTTATGCAGGAGCTAATTCTCTCGCTCACAACTTTAATGCCAGGAGCTCACAAAGTAGAATTTTTGCTCATGAGACTCCATAGCTTAGAGGAAACATTGCACTAGACTACTCACCCTGCCCTCAGGATGAGGGTTTCTTCCTGCAGCAGCCTTCCTTCTGGCTCTGCCCTCTGGAAGAAAGAACAGCTTCTGCTCTGGCACCAGCCCTTTTGTTCCCCAGTCCTCTTCTTCCGTATTGGTCAATTTTGGCTCCAAAACTTCCCAGGGGGCTCCTGGGAGTTGTAGGCCCAGCCTCACCTACTGCTACACAGGCTTCCTAGGCCTGCTAGGCCGTGCTTACACAGCCCAGATCATGACACGCCCTCTCTGGCAATCCATCCTCTCTTCCTAGATCCATCCCCCGTCCAGTTCAAGCAGTGGAGTTTTGTTCCATACTGGTGGTCTCCTCTATCCAGAACGGCCAAACTCACTCATCCCTGCCACCTTTCAGAGCTTACTTCACCCTTTCCCAAAGCTCGACGCTGGTTTCCTGTCCCCTTTCATGTAAACGTCTCCATTCTCCCTCTGCCCTGCTTCATTTTTTGGCCCCGGCTTCTGGATAAAAGTCCACTAACGCCGCCAAAAAAAGCAGGTGGAGAGAACTATATTCCTGACTGGCAACTCATATTGCTAGAAGGCCAGAGTGTCAAAGGAGTGGGAGAAGGTCGGCACATGCCCGTTCCAAAATGGCCCGCTGCCATCGCTCCTTGCTATATAAACCTCCATCAAGGCTCCTCTTTTCTCTCTGGGTTGGGTGGATGGCATCACATCAAGGGCCAGATGCGGGTTACCAACTACTGACCTGCGCTATATACTAATGCAGAACAGATGTGTAACTGCAATACAACGGTGCTTAAATTGTTTCCCCACATAGCACTACGGTCAGGGTTGCAAAATCGTCTGCCCCCTCCTCCCCCCCCGGTCCAAAAGACACCAGGCTGATATCGACTAGGACCAGGGCTTTTTCTGTGGCTGCCCCTACTTACGGGAATGAGCTTCCAGATGAGATCAGGGCCCTGCGAGACCTTTCGCAGTTCCGCAGGGCCACAAAAACGGAGCTCTTCCGTCAGGCATATGGGTAAGGAGCTGCATCTTACCATCTGAGTCCTGCCCCAGTCTTATTCCCAGAAAATAAGTATAAAGACAACAGTCGTGCGAGTCTGACCCACAAATCAAGCACTCACCAAGACTTGCAAAGAAAAAGCTTCCTATGTATTATAATCTAAAGCACTACAACATCATTAATAAATCAAAAGAAAATCCTTGTGCATTGGTACTTAATCAACGTCGTCTCCGGATTATATAACAACGTTTCAATAATGGATCTTCCTCAGGAGAGATTAGAGTAGTACAGAAGCTCTTTGTATTCATGAAGCGCTTGACAAGTCATAAGGAATATGACATTCCAATAGGACGCTGATCTCAATAAATGTTCAGGCTCAAATATGAAGAAGAAGAAGAGAAGAAGAGATTGGATTTATACCCTGCCCTTCACTACCCAAAGGTGTCTCAGAGTGGCTTACAAACTCCTTTCCCTTCCCCTCCCCACAACAGACGCCCTGTGAGGTGGGTGGGGCTGAGAGAGCTCTGACAGAAACCGCTCTAACTGCTCTTTTTCAAGAACAGCTGTGCCAGAGTTATGGCTTGCCCAAGGTCATCCAGCCAGGTGCAAGTGGAGGAGTGGGGAATCAAACCCGGTTCTCCCAGATTAGAGTCTGCGCACTTAACCACTACACCAAAATATGCTGCTAAACTTCTAAATGGATCCCGGGGGTCAAGCACTTCATGAATATAGAGAGGTTTTGTACTACTCTAATATCTCTCTCTCTCTCTCTTTTTTTTTTGGCCCCCCGGAGGGGATTTTTTATTGCTTTTTAAATTAGACTACAAACTACAAAGAAATAAGGGAAGGGAACTACAATTAAGGAGAAAGTAAAGATAATCACTACTGACTAAAAACCCAAGAGAAGGAGATCATTAAAACAGCTTAAGTACAAAATCATTCCTTAAATCGCTGATATCTTTTGAACTTAGTCAGACATGCTAAAATATCTTTTAACACTTAGATTTAACTGTTAGAGAGAAACCCCAGAGCTTCCCATTATTAAAAACCATATTTTCAAAGGCACAATTTAGAGTCCTTCAGCCTTCATTTTTTCTTTTCTTCAGTTTATATGGACTTTTTCAGAAAGAG